GACGTCCATCTCCCCGCAGGGGTCCTCGTCGGGGTCGGGATCGCCGCCGTCCACAACCACCCAGAGGTATGGGATCAGCCCGAGCGGTTCGACCCCGACCGCTTCATCAACGCCGAGATCGCGAACGATACGAACCGGCTTCAAGGGGGGGCGCGGCATGACCTGGTCAAGAAGATCGACCCGTACGGGTTTATTCCGTTTATTAATGGGCCTCGTAACTGCCTCGGGCAGCATTTTGCGATGGTGGAGGCGCAGGTGGCGCTCGCGTTTTTGTTTCTCCGATGGGATTTGATGCTCTACCGGGCGCCCGGGGAGGGGACAACGGAGGATCCCGAATGGCAGGCTGAGGTCGGGCGCCACCACGACTACGTCATCCCGCAAGTCCCTCACCACGGGCTGAAGGTCACGGGGGCGCCGAGAAGCTAACCTAAAAGGAAGAAAACCACCCTCTTGTTTCTTTTCTTTATTTTCCCTTTTTTTTTGTTTCAACCCCTTATCGTCCGACACACCGTTACTCACGCGAGAGTCGCTTGCCTTGTGAGTGGGGAAAGAGGGGGGGGGTTGGAAATGAGAATCTTTGATTCTACATGCAAATCAAATACACTATCAATGCCACATATATCTATCTATATATATTTCATAAATAATCTTTCATGAAGAAATCAATGGTGGCTGATCTTATTATTACTGTTTTAATATATATTCCCATGTTACTGTTTGTTACTTATGATTATTATCATTACTTTCTTGTTGCAAATCACTTGTGCGGACCTTGGGAAACGGTTTATGGCTGTGCTGATTGTAGCAATGGGAAGCAAACGAGTCATTATGTTCATTTTTCCCCCCTTTTTGTTAACTGATGGCAAAGGAAATCGAATTATTAGAAGAGGGTGAAAATGTACTAAAAAGGGGAGTGACCCATTCAAGTAAATTAATCTTACTTGCTTTCTTTGTGTGTCCATAACCACCATCACAAGATTCTTTTAGTTTTCTTGCCTTTGTTTCTACTTTTGGCACTTCTTGTGTGCCTTCACGTTGTGGGTGGAAAATGACCTCGACCAGTGCCGCGGTTGCTGCAATACGACATCTGAATCGACGAAAGCAATTTCCTGTAGAGTTCAAAAGTGTCTTGCTCGCTTGCGATACGGACTCCCTTGGTTTATGTCGTTGGATTCAACGCTATAGGCGAGGTGAGCTACCTCGCACCACGACGTCTCGTGATGTTGCGAAGTATTTCGACGCAGAAACGTTTCCCGGGGGTTCCTCTCGCGACCTGTTCTCAGGCAAGTTCTCGTGTTCCTCGCCATCACTTACCACATACAATCCCGCCGAGGAACCTCAATTCACCGTTTTAGGGGCTCCAGAGGCGGGAGAAGTGGCTGGGAAGGTAGATCCTGGTGAATCTATCACCCACCTTCCAATTTCGTTGGAATCTTTGGCTCGTTTTGTGGAATACACGGCGAGGTCTATGAGTGTTCAACGGAATGCAAGCAATGTGGATCGGGTGAACCTGCTTCAGATTCAAAGTGGTAACTGTGATATTCACCCTTCACTAAGCGAATGCATAAAGCTTCTTCTGCCCCCGCGGAGCGTGGATTTAATGATTGTGGATTTTCCGCAACGAAAACCAGCCGCCTTTATGCACGACTCGTTGGTTGTGAGCTCCTTTCTTCTTTCGTCGAATAGCTCTTTGCTGTTCGTGTGCTCTTCAGACAAGTCTGATCATAACTATGATGCGTTTACCGAAGGGGCTTTGAGGCGGTTTGCGAAGCTCAAATTTCGAGAATCCTGTTGGAGGCATCTGAGCGAAGGAGGAGGAGGAGCGAGGTACTTTTATGGCACCTCTATCGCTGGCGTGGAGGTGGGCCGCGCGGTTGATCGGAGCGACTTTCCTGGGTTTTTACCTAAAGGAAAGAAGCGCGTGCGGAGGTGGAACCCTTATGAGCGACACAAGTTTAATTACTTTGAATTTCTTGGACCTTCTTTTGCTACGGCTCGTTATACGAGAGAGTCATTTCAAGACATGTTAAACCAAAAGAAAGAGGAGGAAGAGACGTTGACAAAGAAGAGCGAGGAACTTTTTGAGGTGTCTTTTGAAATGGTCGAAAAGCAGTCGTTTTATTCAAAGCGTGATGACTAAAAGGAATAAAACAACTTACTAGGAAGCAGTAGTGGGATAGGATATTGCACATTATGGGAGATGGAATGATGTGTATGAAGTGGGAGGTTAATATTGAGAATGGCTTTCAAACATAGTCGATCATGTTCTTTTTGAAGGGATGCACAAGAGAGTGAGTAATAGGAGTTATAAACATCGAGTGGGTATAGGCGCGGCAGTCTAGTATTCTTGAGCAACGTTTCTATTTTTACTTCTGGCGTGGGGATTCTTTTTTATTATTCTGCTCTTCAAAGCAAACGACAAGAAGATTTTATCCTTTTTTTTCCAGCCATAGAATATAACACCAAAGATTGAAGGCATCATTTGCGCACACGAAAATATTTCAATTTCCCAATGCGTTTGTTTTCGGCGTTCTATTTGGGTTTTGCCCTTCTTTCGTTTATTGTCATCTTCGGAAACAACGTGGATGCAGCTGAATTGCCTCTGAGAATTTTCAGTCAACTCGGTGGTGAGTGGAAAGTGGAGGTGACCTCGCCTTGTACATTTTTCACTGACGGGAATGTGTCCTTTTCGAATCAGTCTGCTTCGCTTAAATGGAAGGATGCCAAGGTTAACAATCTCGTTACACGAATTACCAGCGGTAAGGAGGGCGTGGATACGCTTAGCCTAGATGGCCTCAATCCATTCCTCGTCAATGGGAAGCGAAGTGTTTCTTATAAGATTTGTGAATTTCAAAAAAATCAGCTTGAAACATTATCTCGCCCACTTTACGGACTAGACATGATGGCTACCGAGCTAACGCAGTATTCGGGTGTCATGGATGGCAACTGCGACCTTGCGAACAAGCGAACTATTTTCATTCGGACTTTGGGTATTCCGGTTGAGGGTAAGAAAGTTAACGCTCTCAAGCAAAAAGATGCACTTCAGTATGTTGAGGTGCTAGTGGATATTCAAAAATTGCCAAACACATGCTTCGTTGCACCCGCCGAAGGGGCGGAGGGGAATAAGCCCCGCAGAGTGAAGCGCCGGGGCCTGCGCACTGGTTCAATTGAGTCTGATTCAGTAGATGAGTTGAGTAAAAATGGTCTTGTATCGATTCGGTTCTCGAAAAAATCACCTCCTCGACGTACCTTTTTTGAGAAGTATAAAACTTCATTTACATTTATGATAGTGTTCTTAGGGTTTAGGTTAGTCAATAAGGTCGTCCAGCGTAAGTTTTCCGGTAAATAACTGGAGTCAGTTTAATTAGCTAGGTTGGTTTCCCACCCATTCTTCTGTTATCGAATATAATATTAACACTAATATCTCAAATAATGAGTGAATTGTTTGGCGTAATACTATTCGTACTCTGCCGATGGCATCTTGAATGGCTACAGCCCCATGCAATTCACCGCGCTAGGGCTTATGACGTTGAAACTTTTGACCATTTTTTTAATTGGCGTCGATAATATCATTTGCTCCGTTATTTTGTTTTTGGAAGGTGTAGAATGCATTAAAGCTATAGAAAGTCCTTAAATATTTAATTTACGATCAAAATGGATGCTGCACGATCGATCAATGAGGAGAAACAGAATTTTTTTACTTACATTATAGAACAGCAATGGCTTATGTTCGTTCTGCTAGGGGTCATTATGGTAGGCATAAGGTTGTTCAACATGAGGCAGCGCGCTCAGCATCAACAGTTGCTTCGAGAGACCATTATGGTTGAATTGGGCTACACTAAAAACGCTCGTAGAAAGAAAACTGAGTGAAATTTTATTAAAAGCAAGTGCACTTAGTGCAATCGTTGCCGATAACGACCGAGCTATGATGTGCGCATCTATTGTAGTTTTGAATACAACTAACGTAAAGCTGCCACCTTAGTCAAAGTGAGTGTGATGCAATGATTAATGTTTTTTCCTTTTCGCTTCATGTCATTCAATATATATATATATTTGTCGGATATTTTCGAATTTCTTTATCCGTGTGTGGTTGCCCATGCAGTCCTCTCACTAGGTCTTTTGTAGGTTTGCCATTAGCTTACGATTATGTCGTACCTTTCGATATCTGGGCTCGACCCCGAGGAGCAGGATAACGCCCTACATAAACTGCTGCAGGCGAGTTCGTCCACCGGCACTCCCCAACCCGACGGGGATCCCTTCCAGGAGGCCGTGAGGCCAACAACCCCCCCTGATGACGCCCGCCATCCGAATAGACCCTCTTCCGTGAAGCCCTTTTCAGCAGGGGTTCCTTCCGTGAAATCCTCTTCTATAGGAGCCTCTTCCGTGAAGCCCTCTTCTGCGCCTCTTCCTCCTTTAGCGGCCTTCCGCGCGGACCCCCCTGCCGCTGTCGACGCCCTCCCTGCCGTCGAAGATCTCCTCCACGGGAAGCTGCGGCGGGCATGGACGGAGGCACTCTGCCTGCGTGAGATGACGCGCATCCAACAGCTCAGCTGGGCGGCGGTGCTCGACCGCGAGCGCGACGTCATCATCCGCAGCGAGACCGGAAGCGGAAAGACACTCGCGTACGCGTTACCGACGTTGCATCAGATCCTGTGCGAGTGCGATGCGAACCCGATCCGGCGGGATATTGGGACCTTGGTGATAGTGATGTGCCCCACGCGGGAGCTGGTGATTCAGGTGGAGAATACCTTTCGCACGCTTCTCAAGTTCGCACAATTCTTGACTGTTGGGGCGATACACGGCGGGGAGAATCGCCATAAGGAGAAGTCGAGGCTTAGAAAGGGCATCCCGTTGCTGATCACGACCCCTGGCAGGTTGCTGGATCACCTCAAGGCGACCGTCTCCTTTAACGTGTCGAATGCGCGCACCCTCATCATGGATGAGGCGGACCGCCTGTTGGATTTGGGGTTCGAAAAGGCTATCCGCGAGATCGTCGAGCTCTTAGCGACGAAATGCTCCAACGCGTCGGAGTTGAAGAGGGTTCTTGTTTCTGCCACCATCACGGAGGGGGTGGAGCGGCTGTCGCACTTCGCGCTTCGACCCCGCATCACGCGCGTTGGCGAAACGCAGGATACGTTCACCATTCCAGTGACGTTGCAGCAGAACTTCGTGGTGGTCCCCACCAAGCATCGGCTGGCGGTTTTGGTAAGCTTTTTGAGGGCGCAGTTGGACGCGGGCACACAAAAGATAGTTGTCTTTGTTTCAACGGCGGATAGCACGGAATTTTTGTTTTATCTGCTCTCACGCCTAGAGTCGCCGTTTCTGAGGCGAAATCACCAAGGCAAAACGGAGGTGCGCAGGAGCAACTCTAAGAAGTACAAGAAAATGTTGGAAGCGGGAAATCAGCACATACACGATCCAACTGAGGAGGTTATCACCTTCGACGAAGACCGCGATGACGACACGCAGGAGACGGAAATGGATCGGAAGTCGTCGCTACGAGCGATGCTCGACGTGAACGTCTTTAAATTGCACGGGAATATGTCGCAGGTGGACCGTGCTTCGGTGTTTCACGCCTTTAAGTACGGAAATCCGGGAATGAAAAACCAAAAAAGCGTGCTTTTCTGCACCGACGTCGCTGCCCGTGGGCTTGACATGCCTCTCATTGATTGGATTGTCCACTACGACCCTCCAACGGATCCCGCTAGCTATGTCCACCGGATCGGGCGAACCGCTCGAATAGGGAAAAGCGGCAACTCGATTCTTTTCTTAGCACCTCATGAGGTGGGCTACGCACGTTATCTTGCCAATTTCATCGGCAGCGGTGCGCAGGATGGGAAGCCTGCCGGCCTTGAGGAAGACAAGCCTCATCCGATGAGCGAAAAGAAGTATGAGACTTACCTGTTTTATCTCACAAAGCTGGATCCCGGCTCGAATCACATGTGGATACACTCCACCGCGAAGCTGGAAAGGGCCATGACGTATCTTGTGATGCGGGAGCCCTCCAGTGAGGGGGAACACCGGGAGGAGAGGACGGAAAATTTATGCCGCCTCGCACTTTTTGCGTATCAGTCATACATTCGTTCCTACGCCGGCATACCGAAAGACCTCAAGCGCCAGTTTTTTTCGTCTTCCGATCTTCACTTAGGCCATCTAGCACAAAGTTTTGGAATTGAGAAGAGCCCGACTGAGGTCCAGCGGCAGTTGCAAAGATATATTCGCGAGGATCGCGCCTTAGGGCGCAGGGCTCAAAAGCGGATTGCCCCGACCGGGGGCAGCAACGGGGAGGGGGCGCAAGGCAAAGCCAAACGTGAACGCATCGAGCTGGAGCACGAGGGTCGTTACCACAGCATGCTTGCGCAGAAGCAGCGAAAGACAACGCGCGACTATGAGGAGAAGCGCCGTGGGGAAAGCCTCCGAATCAGACCTTTGCAATTCACGGAGTTTGATGCTTGAGTTTTTTTCTCTTTCTAATGCGACGATTAACTGTAAGATAAAAATATAAGGTACAAATTGAAAATTGTGGTGCACTACAGGACAGTTCGCTGAGCAGCACAACACCGCTGGGGTTTATTCTTGGTGATGTTCTCTCTTTTGCCTTTCTATTGTATTTTATTCTCGTGATTAGGAGCACACACACTTACATACGAGGGAATATGATGCGTTTTTGTTTGAAACTCTATACTCGTTTTCCCTTTTTTAAATATTGTTCTTGTTTGATTTTTTTCCTTTCATTGGTGCTTTTTCCTATGATTGGTATCACATTCAGACGTCTAGGGTCTTCTACATGCGATCGTTTAGATGGCTAAGTTACGCATCTAAATTCCCTCAGAAAGTAGATAAATTCAGTAAAGCCATTATAAATGGAAGCGCGGACAGCGTACTGCAAAAGTTCACGAATCCCCATACACGATCAGATGAGCTTGTTACACTATCGGAGTCACTACTGCCACACATTACCAACCAGGTCTACAGCGTTATCCAACAATATCACATCCTTCAAATCTTTTCATCACGCTCGATTCGATATGAACCCATCCTATTCAAGTGTAGTTGGAATATCCTCAAGGCAGATGTACCGCAAAACGCTCATTCTAGTACCTGCGACGGCTTGAGTCCAGAGTTAACGCCAGGTGGGTTAGCGTTCTGCACGGCTGCAACATTTAGCATTCTTTCTCGCATGCGACTAATCAACGACCAGCAAATGCTAGCCCTAGCCTTTGGTCGTTGCATCGAGTTGAGCTCGATCATGTCCTTGGGCGCCGTGGCGAAAGCGTACGAGGCGCTGGGAGCACTTAATCGAGACTATTTCAGCCTCACTGAAGTATATTTGCACTCATCTGATATGGATACAGCTTCGACCATGAAGGATACTCTTGACGAGGTTCAACCCTTGGAGGTCTCTAATCAACCCAACATGGTAGATATTCTATGTGGGGAGCTGGAAGGGCGGCTCGCAGAGCTTTCCTTAGTGCGCAATAGGCTGTCTCTCGTAGATGAGAGCTTCAACATAGACGAACCTCCATGGTGTTCGTCTAGTGATCTCATCACGACGTCTTCGGCAGCCTCAACGTTTCATGGATCTGGACCTTACAGTGCGGCTGGCAGTCGTGACGAAAGCGCATCAAATAATGATCTGTTTTCTTGTTTGGTTATTATAAACGCGCTCGCAGTCGTTGGAGCCTCGTCTCCTGATATTTTTAGAAACCTTCGCAGCGTGATGGAGTCGTGTACCAATTGCGGAGGGTCCACGTTAAGCGTGGGGCTTCTTGTTGAAGCGTTAAAGGGGGCATCCCACGTCTTCCAACGTGTTATAGATCCTTTAAATCATGAGGATAATCCTGAGTTTCTGCAGGCACGTTCTGAGTTGATTCACTTCTTAGTGTCTCATTTACTTCAGAAGAAAAATCTTGTGTTAACGCTAAGACGTAACCCTCAACTTAATTTAGACATCCGAAGGCTGTTTGAGGAAAACCCGATGCTAGTGGAATGTGCTTTTCAATTGTGGGATCGAATACGTTGCATTCGCGTCGCACACAAGCACACAATTTCACAAAAAAATATTCATCTCCCTGAATGTCAACTTCTAAAAGGACCTAAGACAAATTTGAAGCGAAAAACGCCCGACCTCTCAGGTGCGGAGCGTTTTGTGCCGCCTCAGTTCAAGACATGGAAAAGCCCTCAACACACTCCGCGTCGAAATCGCTCTGGTTCTCGAGGTGCTCCAAAAGTGATACCATTTGGAAGGTGGCGCATACCAAGGGATTATATTAAAAAAAAGCAACGGAGCTACTCGCGATTTTGATTCATGCGTGTTAAGCTGTTTCAGTTTTAGGCTGGAAAGTCTAGTTCCTGTCTCCTGGATTTTTTATAAGTAATCTTGATTGTTGTAGGGGTATGTTTGTACAGCATTTCTGTGAAGCAATAAAACGTATGCATCCAAAGGTGAAAGGAGGGCTAAAATGGCATTCAGCTATCCCTCTGGGTATTTCCCGAGGATGCTTCTATATCCATAGTTTTCTTTCCTCTTAAAAGGTTTAATGGCTGTGCGATGAAAAGCAGCTCTCTCCAAAGTAAACATACTCAAGTCAAACCTCACAACAAAAAGCTTCCAGCTATATCAGGTCGATTGCCACCCATTGAAAGGGCCACAAGGGGTACACTCACGATCGCAGGTCCATCCAGCTCGAGGGCCTTAGTCTGCCTTTCCAAGGCAGATGAAATTCAGACCATTCCCCCGCTAATCGCTTCGTTTCAGGTGAAGGATGGAGACTACGGCGTCGGCAACAAAGTGAGCCTTTGGCCGTATCGTGGGAACCGCAGCCTTGCGAGGCAAGCGGTCCAGGATTGCCCTCGAAGTAGCTCAAAGGCCCCTTTAGCCTTGCAACTTGAGGCTTTTATTCGAAAAGAACACCGCCAGTATTTGCTAGATCACCCCGATTGTAGCCGCCTCAACACACTGCACATTTTTAGAGAGGGTCTGTCTGTCTTTGTTGAGCACTTTAGGGAGTATAAGCCTGTTCTTAGCCTAATTCGCGATGAGTACGACCTCACCATCAAAGAGGTGACCGAGCAGATGACTCAAATGGGAATTGAAAACTTGGAAAGCAAAAGCGATCGCAGCGTTCACGCAATGGAACTGATGCATCTAAAGGAAAGCCTGAATGCAATAATTCGGAACCAGGAAGCACAGCTGCGTGCGACGCAAGGCATGGTGCACACTCTACGAGAACAACTATCGGCGGCCGAGAGAAGCGATGCGGAGCTCAGGCTGGAAATGGAGCAGAAGCTAAAGGGATTTGAGGAGGCCCAGAGCACCATTGCGATGTTATCCAAGGCAATGATTGAGGAAAGCTCTCGCACTGCAGAAGCGATGAAGGCTTCGATGAAGAAAGATAGCGAAATAGAGCTGCTGAAGTCCCGCATCAAAGTTCTCGTTGAGGAGTGCAATGAGCTTAAGGATTATTTGCGCAACCAGACCAGAGCACGCATGGAAATGGGCGGATCGCTCGCCCGATCACACGATATCTCCCCCGCAGGAAACGCCATGGCGTTAAGCGCAGGAAGCATCCCCGTTATGACAGAACCTAATTACTCAGCTGAATATGTCCATCGCTTGCTCACGCGTATTGATACGCTGGAAAGCGAAATAGCGATGCTGCGTAACAATAGAAGCAGCAGCAACTTCATTAGCAAATCCGATGGAAATGCGTTAGTTACAGAGGCTGTTAACTCTTTCGTGCGTCCGTCAGCCACCAATGTGCCATCTCAGGCTTGTCGATTAGAGAACGCAGACTTCCCTATAATACGAGAGTGGCTTCGATTAGAAGGGGTCGGAGAGGCGGAGCTGGAGTCTTCCGACACCCTACTTCCTCCAGGACTCTGTCAGTCTGAGGAGCTCGCCTTTCTCAAGGCATGCGTGCCGGTAAAGAATAAACACCTACGACAGGATGTTATCTTGAAATTGATCGACGATATATGGGAAGCTCGTGAACGTCAGATGAGCTTTTCGAGCTTCCGAAATTTCCTTCTTGAGTGGCTCACATCAAAGAGTGGAAGCCTAGTGGGAATGCGGGAGCTGGGCATTAATCTTTTACAGGGTTGTCAGCGGAATTCTCACCACCCAGACTGCCGTGTTTTACTGCAGGTTCTACGAGGCTTCTTGCCGGAGGAGCTTGTTCGTTCCTGTCGTCAGCTGCTTCGTTCGTTGCTTAGCACATGTGAAATTTCTACAGAGTCACTAAATGGAGAGATCTCTATTAGCGCACTGAGTGATGTAATTCGAAGCTTATGGCCAGAAAAGTATCACTCCCACATGCTTCAACTTTGCTTTTATGCATACCGACACTCTAGCCAACCTGGTAAGGTTAGTATTAATGAGTTGCTTGGCTCGAATTCGTATTTTATCACGTTGCTGAAGCATCAATACTTTCGTGAGGTGGAGGAATTTACTCTGTGTGTCGTAGAGAAAGTGCGGGCGGCTTCCGAAGGCGGCAGTGGAATGATTCCGGTTTCTAGTGTGATACAAATAATCACGAAATTAGATGATGGGCTGACTGGTGAAGTTATTTCTGGGCTTTTGTCAGATGCTTTTCAACAAACGATTATGGACGTCCGCTCGTCTGACGTTTCTCTTCGTGTAGATGATCTCCTTCAGCGCCTTCGAGGAAACATTCTTCTTCGTCGTGCAACACCGCCTGACTGATTTACTTTTTTTTTTCAAGCTAGGAAAAGAGTAGTAAATCGATTTAGCATTTATATAGGTGCTCAGGAAAGTGTCATGGAGGAGAAAATTCTTAAATGTGCTGCTTTTTTTTGTCTTTGAGTGTTTCAATCCTCTGAGCTATATGTAAACGTAACCACTCAAAACGGGCTATCTATTTTCATACGCTTTTATAAACCCATTTTCCAATATTTTGGTCTATGTCATTGCCATCATTATCAGATTCTTGAAGAAATTGATCAACTTAGATGTTGCTGTAGTGCCAGTTTTGTAATTAGCACACAAAAAATGCAAAGCTTATGAACTACGTTCCGGAGGTCTTGGTCTTGCTAGAAAAAAGCATTTAGCTCAAATGTTTTTCCTCAATTTCTTGCCTTATTTAAGTATCTTAAAGATTATAGGGTTATATTTTAATCTTTTCTATACATAAGAGATTGCCTGTATGCGTGCTCGGCACTTCTTGCAAAGTATACTAAACCCCCGAGAGCGATGGCAATTTTTTTTCGGGAGGCATAGCTTACTGCTGTCGCCCATACGTTTCATTTCTAATGCCGCTTGCAATGGCTCTGACGATACTGGCATCGAACGAAATCAGATGTCTGAGTTGAATAGTGCTATGCGTCATGCTCTTACTCAGCGTTTGTGCTCACCAGAGCGTCCCTTACCGGCAAATCGTGTATATAAACAATTAGTAAATCCCTGCCGTTTGGTAAAAGAGTTTGATTTCTCTAAAAGTAGTAGGCGGCTGGCACGCCAGCATGCAGTGCTTCGGTTTCTTCGTAAACACAACGTACTGTTGCACAGCCTTCTCTTTTATATTCCAGAAGCGGTCACGTGGAATAGGACCGGTGAATTCGATCGACTGGCTCTTTATGGAAAGTGCATTTTCCGTTCCGAAGTACGGGGGCGCCTCCTTCGCTTATTTCCGGATATGCCGCCACAGATTTTTACGCAGTGTTCTCAAAGTCTTCTTTCTGACAACTCCTTGGCTGATCTATTCGACACTTTGCACATGGAGCTCATCGTTGGCTTGAGACCGACTAGAAGAGACGATTCTGGGAGTCCCCTGCGTCAAAATAGTCAGAAAGCAAAACGTGTTAAAGTAAGCCTTGGTAAGGCAGAAAAGGTGAATATGTTGTGCGCTGTGTTAGGCGAAATGCAGTGGTTCGCTGCGCGGACTAAGGCGACGGATCGTACGCACAACAATGCTCTTTTCCCCCCATCGGATGTCCTCATTCTCCACGTTCTTTGCCTGCATCAGCTCGAGTGCATGCCAGCGGAGCTAATCTTCAGAAACTTAGAACCTCATCTTAAGGCGATTCGACAAGTGTGGGTAAACGAGCCCATGTCACTGCCCACCCAGCTTCGTCTTGTTCCCCGCACCCTGGCCGCACTATCCCTCTCCTCTAATCCCCACTCTCCCACCTCCGCAGAGCTTGAGTGTCGAATGAAAGCTTCATCTGCGATTCCGTCAATTTCGAATAAAGATGATGTAGACAGCAAAGACGCCGTGGTAAGGGTGCGGCCACTGACAGCACAACCCGACACAAACTACGTCAAGTCTTTCATGAAACCGAAGTGCCGTTTCGAACGCTTCAAAACGGACTCGTATAAGGTTCTCCATGCGGACCGGAGGGGGGAACCACCACTTCTCAGTCATGAAAAAACAGTGCGGGCTGTGGGTGCCGAGGGCACGTATTCTCTACCAGATTCTAGGCGGCGCGAACTGCTACCAGGATTTAGTGAAACCGATTAAAATGAAATACTGTATTGGTTATTGGGTTCAACCTGGAGAGTGATTCCCGAGTTACTCGATACTGTTAAGCTGGGACCTCCTCAGAGAGGCTCAATATTAAAGTCTGTGTGATGCTTCAACATGTACTTTTGTGCGTTTCATTATTGGATTGTGTTCTATCCAATCACTTTTTTTTTAACCTACCATGCTGTTAATCACCTTTTTTTTTGTTTTCCTTACATTAAGAAAGAGCACCTAGATAGTATTTAAAATATAGAAATCAAATACACTAATAATTATACCATAAAGAAGCATTCACTACACTTGCTAAGTAAGTGAAGAACAATAGAAGCATATCTCTATATATATATATCTCTATATTTCTATCTCCATATATTATATATATATCGACATACACACTAACGATGTTATCAACCACCATCAAGAATTGTTTCAGTGAAGGGACGCCCTCTGCAAGTAGCTCAGCATCCATAACAGAGGCTACCCCTGGCAATGATGTATCTTCTTTCCTTAGCCACAACTTTAATGATTCATTGGAGGAGGGACTGCAGTGCAAGAATTGGGTTCAAGTATTGGGGCTGGAAAGTGGGACCACAAGTGCGAGGCTTAAGAAAATGTTTTACCCTTATGGTGCCGATGAGGCCTTCATCTGTGCGGAGAACGGCCGCGTGGTTGGCTTTGTTGGCTTCGAGCTACCCGACATGGTAGCGATTGCTATAGACAAGATGAATGGATTTATTCCCTGCCTCCAGTCGCATTTACTCTCGGTAGCGTCGGTGTCGATGGAGCGGGTGATCGCCGCATGGGCAAAATCACGCGAGACGAACACCATTTCTCTAAGGCAATTTGCTAAACTCTCGTTTGCCAGCGACTCAGTCCAATCTCTGATGGCGATTATAGAAACCAAATCTGAACATCAAGGGATACATGCCGTTGTTGAAGAGATCATGGGGGATCTGAGGCAGGCCTCTCCTTCGACTCGGGACCGGATCCTGACATGCCTTCAGGAGCTACCCACGAGTTGGGCGAAGCTCGTGGAGTTCCGAAATGTCCTCCTCCGGCAGCTCCTCCGTTGCATCTTGACAAGTCATGATCTCTTTGCTATGCAAGCCGCCAACAGTGGGGCCGTCTTGGGTGCTCTCTTCAAGACTGGTAAACTCCCGGGAGATCCGTTTCTTCTCGCGGTACGGCTTCTGGAAAGCGGAATAATCAACGCCGCGCAGGTGGATGGTATCTGCGCTATTGCGCATGTCTGTCATGGGTTTCCCCCTTCAGCATCGGAGGCTTCTTTTTGGTCGCATCTCGGGAGGATGGCAGCCGATGTCGGTCCTCACTCCCCTGTCGGGCGAGCCCTTCTGGGGCACCTTCGCCATCTCAAGCGCAACCCGCAGGTTGTGATGAGCCTTCCCCACCCCTACACACCACTGTTTGGACCGATAGACTCCGCCGAATCTTCCCCGTCATCGAATAAGCTTTGTAAAGAAGCGGGACCCTCGCTCTTTTCGACGTTTAAAGAACAAAGGAGGAAAACCATATACATTTCCTCACTACCTCCCACAATGCCTCAAAATATGCTAATGAGCATGCTTCAGCAGGCGGGACCAGTTAATAAAGTGAGGGTGTGCGCGGGTAGAGAATCCGGCACACTTTTCGCTTTTGTTGAGATGTGTACCATAGAGGGGGAGTTTCTTGCATTGGAATGCTTGAAAAACATCAACGTAATGGGCAACTGGATACATGTACAACCGGCGCGCAATCCCATCCAAGACAAGCGAGATGATGATGCAATTTATAAAGATGACATTATGGTTCGACCGTGTACATTTGGTAGCAGCTCCATGCCCATCATCACCTGTGTTTGCAGCAGTCCCAGCAAACATTAACACATACTTATGTGTTTGTAGATAGGGGGGACAAAAGTGTTTATGCTCATATAATGAGCCAAAATACCCGTGTTACCTCTTTTTTAAAAAAGACGATCGACTCGTTTTAATAGCGATATACACTGTTTTACTACTCCACCATAGATGTTTTCACATTTTTTATTTCTTTATTTCCAACAGCACTTCCTTTTTCCTTCTGTTTCGCTGTTTGAGATGATTTTATTATGATTTTAAAAAATGTTCCAGCTGTTTTTTATTCCAATTTTTCCGATATACTAATGTTAGTTTTCCTAAGCGGAAAAGCTCCTTAGGGTATAATAGATGCTTGACATTTATTCACTTAAAATTTGTTTCTATTATCTCTACTTCCCTTGGTACCTTTTCTTCGGGGTCTAGAAAAATACCGTACATTCATCCATAGAAGTGTTTCAAATGTGTTCTCGCTTTATCTATATTGATATCCTTCCTTATATTTTTTCCTTTTTGTGTTACTATTATTACTATATGCTGGTGATTTTGGTACGAAATATATTGCATATATCTATCTAATGTAGGATAGATGATTTCATATATTATGATTTCATATGCGAACTTATGCAAATACTCATCCTTTTAACCTTGTTCTTTGCTTTATGCTTTCAGCAATATTTTATTGCTAGTCAAAGTTAAAAATGTTAGGCACGGGGACATCATCTTCCAATAGCGGCCTTACAAACTCCTCTCAGCAGACCCTAATTGATATATCTGGGCTTATGTTTAAGGCTAACAACATCCGCTATGTTATTCTCAGTCGTGCTTGCCCCGCCGCCTTGTACGGCAGTGACAAGCAATTCTGTACCTCTGAAATGTTGCATTGGGACCAATATCGCACTCAACACAAAATTAATGATGGAACAGGGTCAATAATGAAGCTATACCAGCCGCGAGGAATTGCTTTTGAGGAGTTTTGCTTCAACGATCCGCCGATCGTTGAGGAGGGAGGGCTAAGGTTTAAGTCCAAGTCCTTGGCCGTGCGCCCAGAACCAGAAAGCACCTTTGTCCAAAACTTCTGTCCTGAAATGCAGCATTGGCTTGACTTCTGTGAGACTAAAGGAATTCCTCTAGAAAAAGATGGGGAATCTATTGCAGCACTGTTTAAACCTTTTTGCGGTAGAAAATTACTGTTTTGGGATCACAAGGACAAATTCATACGATATATCGCACTGAGCGTTGCAATCGCTCATTTTGATGAGGATCATCACTTTTACTGCTCTGAGATGGAGCACTATGATGATTATAACGCTATGAAGAAAATATCTAGCGAGACATCGATGAAGAAAACTTTTGGAATACACGCTTAGAATTCAGAAATACACATTTTCGTGCATTTATTGTTTTTCATCTCCTTGATTTTTTAGCGTGTCAGACACAGGTTTCTTTCATATTGCCTCCCTCTCGGCTCCTACGAAGTATAATAGTTGGCTGATGTTTGCAGTCTTGCGTTGCTGTGACACAATGACTATATAACGTAAACTTTTGATACAAATTCAAGCCTTTTTTCTAACTCTCTGCTTCTATTTAATTCTCTATTCTTTACATTTTCCTCTGGATTTTCAGAGCTTGTTTTTAGCCTATTCTTTCTTTTAAATTGTTTGATAGATACTCTAATCACTTTTAGGCTTTTTCTTAAGGTATTCGAGGTGTTACCTTTATGAGCACTTTTGCAAGCGGGTTTGGTGCATCTTCAGGCACGGGACTTAATGCCCCGAAGCCGGCTACAGGCTTGGGACAACCCGCCGCCACCGGGGGATTTGGACAGCCACAGCAACAGGCTACTGGGGGCTTCGGACAAGCCGCGACTACTGGTGGGTTTGGGCAGCCACAACAACCAGCCACTGCAGGGTTTGGACAACCGCAACAACAGGCTACTGGTGGCTTTGGCCAGCCTGCGGCCACAGGAGGATTCGGGCAGCCACAGCAACAGGTTACTAGTGGCTTTGTCCAGCCCGCGGCTACGGGTGGCTTCGGTCAACCGCAACAACAAGCAGCGGGTGGCTTCGGACAACCGCAACAACAGGTTACTGGTGGCTTTGGCCAGCCCGCGGCCACAGGAGGATTTGGGCAGCCAC